GCGTCGACTCACAATTCAACAAATCACAAACACATTCATATTCCTCAATTCCTGGCTCCATAATTTGTAAAACATAACTAATGAATCGGGCTGGAAGCTTGGAGGAATTCTTATAACATCGTTCACAGAGGTCAAACCCTATTTTCTCAACACAGTATGTTCCCCAACAATAGGATACATCTGCGTTAAATTTCAAATTACTCTGAAATTAGTTCCATGGTAATTTCAAATTACTGAGCCTCCGCACGCGGAGGCTGGAGCTTCAGCGTGTGGAGGACTGAGCGGCTCAGCATTTTTCGAACGCTTACATAAAAGAGTAAGCCTTTTGGTTGGGCGGGATTGACTCCAAAATTTTGGACGGTATTCAAGTCAAAAAATCTGGGCGGGAGTCGAGATGTATTCGAAACAATTTTTTTTTTTAAATCTTGGGCGGGATGGAGGCCGAATTATGGGCGGGAACACTGTTGCGTTGTTTTCAGTCTGCATTCCCTTTTCCTTTTTTCCTTTTTGTTTTTTTTTCCATTCCTTTGGGCGGGAAATTGGGACGGCATTTTAACCGGGCAGCTATCCTTCTTTAATATAGTAAATAGATTATAAGAGATGAGTGACAAATTATATTGCATGTTTATCTACTTTTAGTCATGTTCAGTCTATCAAGTTTAACGTACGAACTTGCCTAAATCTATTTCTATTCATGAAGATTATGGAATTCCGTTTCTGGAAAGTCACAAATAATGGCGAAGGCCCTGTCTTAAGTCGTTTTATAACAATCATATATATTCGAGAAATAATTTAATCAAATAAAATAAGTTATCTTAATCAGATTACATTTTTGTACTACTTTTTTAGTGGGTAAGCATCAACTTTAAATCTTCAATACAAAAAAGTAGTAATAAGGCTGCAGTACTGTGATAAATGATTTGAACAAAGCCATCAGGCTGTTGATTTGGTCGATCATTGCCTGAAATGTCAATATACGGGCCTCAGATCTTCAACCAGTAGAAGTTCAAGCATGTCGAAACAGTTGGAACCCATTCTTGTTATATGAATTTTAAGTTGGATTAGACGCATTCGAAACCTTAATCAAAACCTTCCTTGAGCCATCAATAATGTCATTTCCCTTCTCATAACTTTGTACGTAGGATTTCTTAATAACATTCTTCCCAAGATGCTACCTCTTCCACAACCTCCACCTCCACCTCCACCTCCACGGCTCCCGCCAACACCAACATTAACTCCGTCTCCTGCAAAAATAACCAAGCCATCTCCTTTCCATCAGATTATCATATAAAAGCAAGCCTTGAGCCAACAGAAAGCTGCCACCAGATGCGCCATACAGCACCAAGCAAAAATGGGGACAGCATCCAATACTGCTACCTCGGAGAACAAATTTAGTAGTATGGTTTGGTGCAATCCTATGTTTGGTATTTAGCCTTTTTCTCATCTTCTTTGGAATAACTACTTTGATAATCTTCCTCGCGATTAAACCAAGAAATCCAATGTTCGAGATCCCCGCAGCTAGTCTCAATGTCATGTACTTCGATGCTCCCAAGTTTCTAAATTCGGATACTGCATTTCTTGCAGACTTTTCCAACCCAAACAGGAAACTTGATGTTAGATTAAAGTATCTGGATCTGGAGCACTACTTTTCAGACGGTCTTATAGCAACTCAAGCTATTCAACCCTACACTAAAAGAAGCAGAGAAACGCATTTAATATCAGTTCACATGATATCAAGTTAGGTTTATATGCCACCAAATCTTGCTCTGGAGCTTCGAAAACAGGTGCAGAGAAATCGGGTTGTATACAATATTCGAGGAACTTTTCGAGTAAGAATTAAGCTGGGTTTAATCCATTATTCTTAGTGGTTGCACGGACGATGCCAGGTAGTAGTGACAAGCCCACCAACTGGTACTCTAGTCGCCCACAGTTGCACAGTCAAGAGATGAATAAGAAGAAAATATGCACATTTCGTTTCACTTATTTGCTTTTCTTGAATTTGATCTAAACATGAATTATTCTTCTGTAGTAAATGGCTCAAAAGTACATGAGGTTCTTTAAGAACAGCTATTTTTAAAAATTAACATTCCATTTATCTGATTATTTTGTATACTGCATCCTATTTGTTAATGTATATACATATATACGCATTGCACATGTTGTTGGATAAAATAACAGTAAAGTGCAGAAAAACTTATCAACAGATCGAGTCTCGTGACAGCACGATATCCTAAAGCGAAATTGTCCGTCGATAATTGCTGCGACCTCTGTGGACAATCACCTCCAGGATACAACGATCAAATAAACCAATTGTGCAACAATCACAAAAGGTTTCCAAAACTCTCAAGTGTACTCCAGAAATTTGTAAAATTAAGAACAATATTTGTACTGTATAGAAATATATAATCTCGTTTTTCTTGTTTTTTCCTAATACTCAAAAGTGTGTTTATATAGGCAGAAAGAAATGTAACTTCTTCCACCATGATCTAGTATTAAGTTGCAGATGTAATGGCCAATGGTAATGGGTATTAATATTTGGCAGTTAAAACTGT